GGATTAACGTCCATCGTATCTAATTAATGAAGTCATGATAATATAACAAACGTTTTATCAAGGACATGCATGTCTATAATAAAATCCAATAGTGACTTCTTCCAAGCATACGATGATCTGAAAATGTTTAAACCAGATTTATATAATTGGATATTTTTAATAAAATTAACACAATAATGTAAATTCAAGCTCAAGTATTTAGGGGGTGAATTTTTTTTGGTAACTGTAGATTTCTGTACCAACTTACGAGCATTGATTAATCCCCGGACGACTATGAATAACATGGACGGTGATTTGACATGCACCATAGTTGATTTATGTAAGTAAATGCAAAATTATATAACTTTTTATAATATGATTTTGAATTAATATTAAAGTAAGAAAAGATAGTATACGTACAATCAAGGTCAATAGACACGAGCTCGATCAAGAAGGATCGCCCCAGCAAAACATTTACGGTATTAACAACGCCACCAACACCAACACCGGAGATGGCAGAGCTTATGGTTGGTTGGACGGTGATGACACCCTTGACAGTGGTGGATTTGGTAAAGATGCCGCTCAAGATGGCTTTAATGCTACCAGCAGAGGTGGAACGAGTGCGAGTGGTGGTGGATTTCTTGGTGGTTGGGAGAATGACCGAAGAAGAGTAGGCGGCGGAGGAGGAATGATTGGTGGCATCGTTGCCAATGAAGGGCTTTTGAAGTGGAAGTAGGTTTTGAATAGAGTGAGATTGGTTGATCTGAGAATTCAACATGTTTTCTTCCTTTTCTTCACTCTTAGTTTGTGTGAGTTAAAGGAGGAACCACGCACCTCTATTTATAGTACCAAGGGCTCCATTCGTTTCTTATTTATTTAGAAAATAAAATGTTGGGTTTTACAAGTATTTTTGTTTTATTATTATTATACAAGAGTTTTGTCACATTTTATACATGATAAACGTGAACTTCAAAAAATTTAATCGATAAAATATCATATATCATAACGAGTTAACAATTACAAAAAATATCAATCTTTACAATAATATTGTCGTGGGATGTAAGTTCAAATCTCTAACACGAGATTGAATCGGTTTTCCTTAATTCAATGTGTTTGTAAAAACAAAAGTTACGGTTCATTTTCGATATATAAAAACTTGAAATATACGATTTGGTTTTTTTTTCTTCAAAAACCTTATGTATGTTTTGTTTTCTTTTACAATCATCACGTTTTATTTATAAACCATGCAATTCTAACAAACTTTACAAACCAATCTTGGCCGTCCATCTAGTCTGAAAAATATCTGATTTTATTATGTTTACTAATCTAAAGTCATGATCATAATAAATGAACTTTATCATCTTTCATATATATCTCAATCATAATTAATAAATCATGAAAACTATCCAAAAACATCTCAATTATTTTCTAAAATAATGATTTATATAATTTATTAAAATTCCATGATTTATATTTGAAACCATCCCTTTATATATGAAAACATTTATGTATCACATGTTAACGTTCACAAATTTATATCTTGTAAGAGATTGCAATAATTCAAACTAAAAGACGAATGTCTTAGGGTTCTTTATGTAAAAATATAGAGTTAAATACAAATTTGGTCCCTGTGGTTTACACAAATTAATGAGTCAGGTCCCTCAAAAAAATTACTAATGAGGGGCGTCTTTATAGTTTTAATTTTATAACGAATATGGTCTCTCTTCCCTAACTTTCATTTTCAGTAATGGATATGGTCCTTCAAACTACTTTTCATTTTATAACATATTCGGTCCCTCAAACTACTTTCCATTATCATAACAAATTTTGGTCTCTCAAACAATTTTTATTTTTTATGACAAATTTGGTCTTACCCTCAACTTTCATTTTTATGATTGATCTCTCCGTTTAATCAATAAAATTTGATGACACAAACATATATTTTGAAACGTAGAATTTGTCATCAAATATTTTACCTTTTTAAAAACATTATTTCCATGAAACCCTTAGCTCGAAAAACTAAATGCATGACAATATATTGGATATAAAATATAAGAGTATTAAGTTTAAGCATTTTACTAAAACTAATTAATACACAAAACTAATATTATAATTAAATTCGATATAAGAATATAAATTTAATTTATTTATTTAAATTAAGTAATATATACTAAAAATGGTTATAGTGAAGTTACAATTAATAAATATACAAAAATATTACAATTTAGACTAATTGATTAAAGATTATTAGTTATATTAATAATAACATTAATAATATTCAACTTGTTAATGCTAAATTGTATAATTATAAATTTATTAATTATAACCATTTTTAGTCTATATAATAGTTATTGTTGGACCGGTAACTGCACTAGGGAGCCGCCCACGTGATATTGTCCGCTTTGGGCTGCCCAGGGGTTTCCCCGCACGGTAACAACCCCTCACGATTTTGTTTTCTAAAACGCGTCACTGGTAGGAGAAGACTCTCACCTCCTTATAAGGAAGAGAAGACTCCCTAGCCTCACCGATGTGGGATGCTCCTGCATTGCTACAGGAACGGTGGGTTTAAGGACGAGGATTTGACCTGCCGAGGGAACACCGAGTCTGCTGACCCAACA